AGTAAAAAAAGGAAGTTTAATTCTAAAAGGACTACATGGATATAGGTTGAATGTGAACTGATTAATACTAAGGGGAAGATGTACACTTCCCTTAGTAATATTGCATTTCCCTTTCCTGCGAGGGGCGTTTCTGCCATCCGGAAAATAGCCTGATGTAGTTTCTTATAAGCCAAAAGAGAGCGAGAGAGGTATGAAACCTCTTCCTTCGCTTCAACAAAGAAAGTTAGAAGAATTTCTTATTCCTTACCAACTACTTTCTACTGCTAGTTTTGGTTTTTGAGATGGCGGGAACGTCCACTCCTTTGCTGGGATAAAGTTTTTTGTATAAGGGGTTTTCCAAGCTTTAATTATATGCTTCAAGGCCGAAATAAAGGCCAAACGTTTTACTCTAATATAAATTTCGCAAAGTTAAAAATAAATAAAGGTTTCAAAGGTTACTGATTAGCTATGCCTAATTAATGTTTTTATGTAAAGGACTGAGAATGGGGGACACAAACATGTATCGAAATTATGACAAACTTGATGTGGGCTCTTTAATGGTGTCGTTCAAAATGTTCACGGTGTGTAATAAGTACTCGTGACCTTGTATCAGTTTGGCCATAAAATCATACTAAAGAATAAGCAAAAGACAAAACTCAAAACTCTTCTCTGACCATAACGTTGTTTTTTATTTTAGGACATATTTCTCATTTTTTGCCAACTCACGAGAAATGCTTGTCTTATAAGTCAAATGGGTCAATGAGTCATGAGTCAAGTTATGATCTAGTCACGTTAAGGAAGCCCTTAAAAAGTGATTAGGGTTAAGCACTGATATTAGTGATGAGGGTTAGTCGTCGTTTTATATAAAAAGTTTTTACGACGACATCCAAAATCTACTGTTTTACCAAGACAAAAATAATATTCGGATTTAACTTGAGAATGGATTTTGGCTAGTACGTATATACACCACACATAGCATGAAAATGTTGAGTCCAAGTCAGTGTCTTATATTTTGAATTACAAATTGTACATTAAGGTGCCACACGAATCTCAATGCATTGGCACGAAATGACCTTGGTAGGATTTTTTTTTGCTCAAAGTCGGTGTAGGTTTATTTTTTACCCCAGGTGTTTTGCTGCCAGAACTGCAGTCTGTAGGATATTTTCTATGAAATCAACCATACCGCCCCGCCCCCCACACCCCCTCAAAAGTCAAGTGGTCGGCCCCTGAAGTGTACAAGTGCTTCATTCAGATATTAAGTCATGTGGCATAAACGTGACGCAAGAGGGCGATAAATTAAGCAGTTGCGGTTTCTTAATCAATTTATTGTTTTACTCCTTGCATGCTGGCACCATTCTACTCTGTTCGTCTTCTCTATCTGCTACACAGTTTTTTGGAAACAGTGCCACGAGTTTGGGGGACACTTGCTACCAATTTTACGCTGTGCTCTATTAAATCAAATCTAAAGGTAGGTAACATTCAAGATCTATAAACGTTATTTGTTAATTGCGAGTGCGTTCACTTTCGAAAACTTGACCTTATATTGCAATTAACATTTTACTTCCTTAAGTGCCTAAAAAAGAAACATTACGGAGGTGTAATCAAAGAGGTCCTTTGTTTATGGCCTCTTCTTGAATTTTCTCTAAGAAGTTAAATTTTTACTACATCACTATTTCACTTTTGAGTGTGCTTATGTAAAGTTTGCTGCGGTGCGGTTTACGGCAGGCTGCTGAAACAAAAAAGGTAAGATTACGATACATTTCCTGTCTCAGCATTTTACTTTCTTAATCAGATCTTTCCGACTGATGCGAACAACGTTACTCTGTTTACTTCAATCGTGTTAATTAATTTGCTCCTTCAAGTTTTACGGTCTCTAAAGGAGACTAGTTTCGAACTTGTTTTACGCTTCAATTGACTGTTAACGCTCTAAATATGGTTTGCAAAGGTGGCCTATCTTAGTTTTACTCTGTGGGATAAACAGTATTTAATACTAACTGGGGAATGAAGTCTGCACTTATAAGCATAAATTCTGATGCGCCCAGGTGTTTTAAACTGCTTGGACACTGTAAAAAATTTACTTATCTCCTTCGTTTTTTTTCATATTTCATGACTTTCTGTGTGTTGATATACTTGATAGATCATGTTTACATTTCTTTAGCATTTGATTTTTGGCAGGTTTTTTTTGGCATAGAGTGTTTCGCATTTGGTTTTTGGCATCTGCTTTTAGCATATGGTGTTAAGCATTTCGTCAGCATTTCTTCGGTAATATTTTGGCATCTCAGCACTCTCACTTTCCACCAGCGACTAGGGAGTTTCCCTTCCTTGCCCGAAGCTGTACGTGTTAATTGACTTTAAGAATTCAAACCCGACACAGTCGAAGTATCCGATTGCATGCATGTTCACTGAATATTCTAGAAATTTGTTATCAGCATAGCATTTCTGCTTGACGCAAAGATCACTTTAAACTTATTAATTTAACACTTTTTAGTTGTAAAAGAATTTGCTTCCTCATGTGACTGTCAAACACTTTCCGAACGATAGTGCACCGACTTTGTTGTAAAATGGCAAAGTTTTACGTAAGGCCGAGTTTTATTTAAATCGTGGTTTTAAACGATTATTTGAATGGACCTCGAGAGTTTCCTATAAGTGCTTTTATATAAGTGTTTCCATATGCCGTTCACAAAGAGTACGTAACAGTTAGTATATGTACTACGAGCTATTAAATACAGAATACAGGCGTTTATGGCTAAATTAAACTGCTTTAGAACGCGCTTTTGCTAAACACTAGCTAGAAATTATTTTAATAAACGGACTGAGCTCGAGGCTGTAAGTGCTCTGACCGAGCTAAGTAATTTAACGCAGTCGAATTATTGCCGATTGCCCTTCTGTACTTGAGTATTCTAGAAACTTGTTTATTCTAGCGCAGCATTTCCTTTAGAAATTACATTAATGGCATCGATAAATGGAATCACCGAGAAACAGCCTACTGGGCAAAGATCACCTTTTTACGGAATTCCTGCAAAATTGTCCATGCTCACGAAGCAATCGGTAGAACCCAACAGAACGTCGTGTTAACAATTCGAGGGCCGTTTTTCGGCAGCTAAGGCTCTTTGGCCTATTCGCTTTTCGCTGAGCGAAATCCCATCGTCAGGCTGTGATAGCTCTCTCACATTCCTGTCGATCGCATCTTCTCCATTAAATAAAGTCGGGAACAAACGTGTACAGTTCGTCCAAATATACAACAATGATCCCCGCTGAATTATTTCAACGTCCTTTTAACAACTCCAAGTCCATTTCTTGCTGATGATAATGTCAGTGTTCTTTAGAATATTACCATTCTTCGGCTAGGCTGGCTACTCTATGAAGTGTACCCTCTAGAATATGCCAAACATATGCATAAAAGGCAAGGATGTTTTTAAGGCTAGGAAATGATGGTAGGTAAAAGTAAAGTGTTTAATCCGACTTAATGAATAAATTAATGAGAATCGAGTGAGTGAGTGAGTGAGCGAGTGATCGAGCGCCATTCGTCGTGCTTCCAAAACCCATGGCATGACTACGTCATCCATGAGCTAACAATGAAATTCATGTCGCCTGGTTATTCTATTTTGTTTTAACTTGCTAGATTCTGGTATTCAATTATTGAATGACCTCGCTATCTCTGATTCAGGACAGAAAGGAATGTTTGATGGAGATATTTGTCTTGTAAGGGCTTCCTAAGTCTTGAGTCAGTTAGAGTATGCGTTATTAGTATTAGACTGCAACACTGTGGCATTGTCTCAGAGTTCTTTGGAGAATCTCGATTATGTTTGATTTATACTCCAGCCTGGTCGCCAATTGTCTTTCTCCTCAAATCGTATGCCGTAAGTTGCACTGCCCATTGGCTGATAACAATGACAATTCTTGAATCCATCTTTTGACATTTTGTAAGGACAGAAATATAGGTTATAACTTTAGGAAAAATGACACACAGGACTTTGTTCCAAATTTTAGTAGAACTGATGGTTTTAAATATAGTTTTTTTAACCGTGTTGTAGATTAATGGAATGGTTTACCCAATCATATTAGAGAATCAAACAGTATTGCAACTTTTAAAAGAAATGTTTTAAGCTTTATTAAGGATAACTAGAACATTTATATTTCTATTTGTATATATTTTTCTTAGATGTTAATCAGTGGGGGCATCCCTAGTATGGCGCATTGGTGCTTTTGGTTGTCTCCTTCTCCACAACTTTTTTTTTTCTTTTCTCTTATAGTAGTGTTAGTTTATTTCATTTCATTATTTGCTTGTAATGCAGTGGAGTGAATCTGTAATAAATAAATAAATAACTAAATAAATAAATTCAAATACTTCAGTTCTATGATTTAGCGATTATTTGACAGTATAATCAAAGCTCATCAAAACAAGTGAACATAATTTTTTTCTGTGTTGGCCTTTACACAAATCGCTGAATACAGGACTCGTGGTTGCTACCTGATAGGTCTATTGCGTAGTTAAGTGCAGTTTTAATTCCAGTTAGACTAAAAATATGTTTTAGTATTTTACAATGTTTCGCAGTCTCTTTTGCTATTATCTTTGACACTGCAATTGAATCAAAATGCAAGTATGGCTGTACAGTATGAGAATTACGATAATTCCCAATCTAATGGCTATTTTGAGTCTCTAACTACTGTTAATTATTGTGACGTCATGTTATGGAAATGTTTATATGCATTTGCGGTGTAACTTTGTAGAATAATGAGGAAATGAATTCTTTGGCGACTGTTTTTGAATAATCATTGCACTCTTTCATGCTTTTTTACTGGCTAGAACACCAAGGTGATCTTCTGTTACCAGTTTCAACCGAGTGATTTTTTTTGTGCTTTTGTCCTTTTTCTCGTGAGGTATGAAACCCTGTTGCGGTATACGGACCATTTTAAGGTGCCATCGCGTGGGTCTCCTTCATTGGAATAGCTGGCTTTCTCCTACAATTGCTGCGCAGCCTCAAGAGCTTCAGTGACAACTGTAAAGATGGGGAATCTGAATGTACAAAAAAGTTTGGTTAATTGCTGGATCTTCACTAGGTGGTGCACTGTTTCTGTTTATTGCTTTCACCATAATACGACATTTCTTGGTACGTAATTAATATTAGCCCTTTCATTCAGAACAATTTCAGTTCTTTTTTAAAACGAAAAGAAATCATTGTACTGTGCAAAACTGGATCTACTAAAGAGGTCTTTTTTAATGGTAACATCATAAGCCGATTTGCTCCAAAGTTTCAAACGTTAGAATAACTCGGTTTAAGATGTAAACACTTGTAATTGGGCATTCAGGTAGAACCAGTGGTAAACGGCATAAATATATGGTGACAGACAATTCAGTTTCTATAAGAGACGTTTTTGATAATGGCGTTGTGATACACTAAGTCTGTTGACTCATCACTCTTAAGTAATGAGAGTACCAAAACAACTGAAACACACGTACAAATTCTTGTGTTTGTTTTTTTTTTTTTAATAATCTGCAATACGCTATGGAAGTACTAGCCTGCGAAGCGCCAGACGCACGACCGGAAATGCGTCTGGCGCTTCGCAGGCTATGGAAGTACAGGCTTATTGTCAAGCGTTGATTAGGGATGCTAACAGATCCAGCTATCTACACCACTGCAAGCGGTCTTCAGTAACTTTTTGTAATAAAAACAACCTATTGTCTGGTGGATCCAGAGTTTTTCAAGATAAGACTGATGCCGGTTGTAGAAGATACAGCTTCAAGGTTCACCGGCCAAATTCTAAAGCCGACCGTAAGGGAAAATTAAGAGCTGTTTGAATATCCATGTATTTCCAAAGTGACATCCCTTTAAAGAGGGTCTCAATGGGGTGGTGGCTTTTACGGTTATCGGCTAAAATTTGGGCTCTTTTACGGCTATCGGTTAATTTTTTTCAGTTACGGTTAATAAAAAAGTTAAAAATTAACTTCTTTTGTTTCAAAAGGTTAAATATTAATTAACCTGTATTTTTTGTATCTTTAAGTCAAAATAAAGGTCTTCGGATCATCTCGGGATGAAACAAGCTATTCTTTTGAAAAATTTTAACATTTTAGAGATCATACTTTTTATAAAGTATTTCACTTCTAATATTATTTACACATAGAAATGTCAATAGTCAATTTAAAAATAATCTTTGTGAAAAAACAAAAGCGGACACGCAAACGCCCAGCTCAAGGCCAGGGCGCGACACTCATTATAACAAAAATGGCCGTTTTCACACAAGAGACGGGTTATCCGTTTGAAGATTCGCGTCAGATAGGTACTCTTAATTTGAAAATGGAATAGTTTTAATTTTGAATGAACAAGCCGCCTGACTTTATCCGTCAATTTCGACGGACAGTTTGAAGACTCGATTATCCTTTCCAGATAGCCTGTGTACAGCCGCCCCCTCGCCTCAGAAAAAAATGGGAGAAGGGGTGTCTGTGGGGACGGCGCATCTGTACACAGGCTAGTCTCAGATGGATAATCCATTTCTAGTTCTAGTGTGAAAACGGCCGATAACAAAATTCCCGTGTCCAGTGTTTTTAATGATAGCGAAGGACTTTACGGAACGACTGTCTTCCGTTGCCTTGTCCGTAGGCCTCATTATTCCGCGCGGCTAATGCGTTTCGGGTCACGTGGTCCGAGCGAGTTCGCCAGACGCCGTACAGGGACTAGGCATGGCAATGTCCACCGTAGCGTCAGAGAAAAACAGGGAAATGTTGTTTATCGGCAACGTGTTTACAAACAGTGACATCTCTGGGCCTTGCTTTACTAGTGTTTCCAGGGCACGACCTCCTGAAAATCGCAAATATTAATCCCCAGCAAGAAGCCACACTTTCGCTATGGAAAAAGTTAGTTCCCCGAGAGTGGCAGAAATGGAGCTTTTGGTCAACACCTATAAAGCGCTTCGCCTAACGTGCGTACGGAGTCACACTAGCCGGGAAATAAAAAACGCAACCATAAGCCGTGAGTTTAGTACCTCCCTAAGTAGCAAATCTAGGGAACAATTTCTTTTACGGTTAACTCTTTTTTACTCTATTTACGGCTAACGGTTAAAATTTTTAAATTTTTACGGCTATCGACTAAATTTTTGGCCGTTTTACGCCTATCGGTTAACCCCATTGAGACCCTCTTTAAAGATAGGCCTGTTTGGGTTTGTAAACAGCCCAACCCACAGATGAAAACACCCAGCGTTTTTTGGGTTAACATAATAATAAATTAAGTATAAGCTGTAAATGCCCCCTTTTTACAGGTTACTTGTTTTCCTGTCGCGTGTGGTCACCGAAAATGCACTTTTACCGGACGAAGCTCTGAACCTCTTAGAGATATTCTTGTGTCTGTGGACGACAACATTCCTTGCGAAGAAGACCTAACAGAGTTCAAAGACAAAGCTTTAGCGGTGATGAACGACATCAGGACTGAGCTGGAACAAATAATGCAGAGAACAAGATTCCAGTTTATCTTTTCAGGAAGTGCGGTGGAAAGATACGGGATCCCGTTCATGTTGTCTTATAAGCCCACAGATTGTGCCTGTAATTCAACATGTCAGATTAATGCTTTACACACGGATCTAGACGTGATGTTTTGTTCCCTGGCAGACAAAGCAACTTTTTCTGGCGAAGGAAACATTCTTGTCGAACCTCTCGTAACTGATGATTCTGGTTTCACAGGCTACGCTAAGCTAACTTCTCTCACTCCTGGCTATCAAGGAAGCTGTGTTAGTTCAAAACTCATCAGAGATCAAGCCAAAGTTGCTGTAGAAAATACGCGTGTATCAAATCTCCCTGGTGTGCCATGCTGTTATGGAATGTCCGTGTTTACTCCTAAAATGAAGCTACATTGCAAGGGACCAGCGATGAAGATCAACATTAAACCCCTCTTCGAGGCAGACGTAACTTTTTGCTTTCACTGTGCCGAGTGGCCTACGTTAAGTGACTGGCCTTCTCGACCGAGGTACTGGCCCAGTCTTGCTGATACGCAAAGAATGATATCACTTGGTTGTCACCTGGTGGCAAAGCCAGCACCGAGTGACGTGGACCAAAGAAGTTGGAGATTCTCGTTCTCTTTGGCAGAAGTTGAGCTTTCCAAGCTTGTCCCAGACGTGGCAAGGAAATGTTTTGTGGCTTTGAAAATCATCGTAAAGGATCACCTTCAACCGGTTGTCCCTGAAATTGGCCCTTACCACATCAAAACCATTTTTTTGAACACTCTAGAGAAGGTGCCGGTTGGTTTCTGGACAGAAGACAACATCGAAGAGTGTTTGCTGACATTGTTAACGGAACTTTGTGATGCCCTGCTGTCCGTGAAATGTCCCCATCACTGGTTTAGTTTCGTCAATTTATTCATTGACATTGACGAAGAAGATCTCCAGCGTCTAGCAAGGAAGGTAGAAAGAATAATTAAAGACCCGGCTCCTTTCATTTTTGACGATGGTTGTCGTTGTCTGTCCCCATGTTGTTTCCGTGTGCCTCAGTATAATTTCACTCGCCGAAGTAGTCAACAGTTTCTTGTCGACTACGACGAGATTACCATATCTGTAGACGGGAATATGATCCCAAGAGAAGTCCAGCAAAATAACTCTCCCAATCAATTGCCAGCATCTTCTTCCGTGATGCCATGGGCACAAATCATTTCAGAAAGTTCTCTAGGATCAATTTCAAGACCTGATGGACCTGTGGTAACTCTTCCTCCAGTGCATAATCCCGAAAGAAGACCTGCATCATTTATGGATGATTCAGAAATGGAGTCGTCAAGAGAGGCAATACCCTTGACTGTTATTTTACCGCCCACATAGATATATTATTTTGTTTAAACAAGAAAGCTGCACAAAAGGGATTCCCAAACAGGTATATGACATTTAAGTTAATGCAGGAAGGATAGATCCTGAGAAGAGTCTGTTTTAAGCGATATTATTCTAACAAGTTTTGTTGATAGATTTTCTAGTTTTAGTATGTGATATTTAACCGATAATTTCTATCCTTATTCTGTCGCAAGATAAATTTAATAGAGCGCTATTATCGTTTTTGCCAACTCTCCCGGATTATCTGGGAGTCCCCTGAAATACTGCACTATTTTCCCCCGTCTCTCGCACTGATCACCAAATCACCAAGATAAAATACCATTTTGAGCTTTCCTGTTGCATAGGTTGAAAATTTTCCCATTTCTCCGACAATTTCAAACATGTTTCGATCATATAACGGTTTGCGTTGGATTTGGACTTTAGAAGTCTACTTTTTCATTAACCTTGAAAGGCGAATTTTTAAGACTTGGTATGATTTCCTGAGCCATGTTATAACGTGGCTACTGGGTCGATTTGTGTTTATGTGGAAGGGGGACTCCACTGCTCAAGATTGTATATCCGTTGAGCTCCGTTGGCAGCTAGGTCTCAAGGTCTTGATGATTTCTTTTGCCTACGTTTGCAGAAGCCACTTAATTTAAAGTCAGTCATGCGCGTTATGGACATGGTGGCTTATTGTTTGAAGAGAGGATTTTACTGCGGGAAGAGAAAGACCAAAAAGGCGGGAAAAAGTAGACATCGTGATCTGCTAACGATTTACTGGAAGATTATGAGACAATTGCGACCTATTCACCAAATTTTAGATAGACCACCGAGATGCCTTTGATTTATGATTTGAAAAGCTACTGGCGGTCGTGTTTTATTCATTAACAAATTTGCCGTCAACTTACGCCTGCCTTGGTTCTTACTGTTACGCCAAAATGTGGATCTACCTAGAATGAACACCACTGGTGTGCAACTGTTACGGATCTTATGATCCAACGATAGCGACACCAATGAACGACGCTGAAAAATCCACTAACGCATCCTTTCAAACTTTTTCGCTATTATTGCAAGTCACCGTCGTACAATCGTAAGGTCCCTATTACAATAAAAACCCGCTGTTAAAGGGACAGTGTCCCGATTATGCGCACGCCCGAGCGTCATCTATCTGTTTTTTCTTCAAAAGACAATAGAACTGTCAAATTGACTCGACGATTTCCTTCCGGACCGCGCCACCGACAGAAATTTGTTGTTTATATTCTCAAGTAGTATTTTAGACTTTCGAAGAAGTCTTTCGTCTTACAGAAAAATTTGGCTCGCGGTTCGAAGACTCATCGTGATTTCATCGCTAGCTGGGCCGCCTCGCGACCCGAAAATCTCGTTCCGCTGGCTTTAAAAACATATTTTCTAATTTGAAACTCGTGTCAAAGGTCAATCGCTCCAAGTCCAGTAATATCTGCCTGATTTGCTCGCGTTCTAGCCTCAGACGTTTGAAAGACATCAATAAAAATGCAATCTCAACGCTATGAATCATCACAAAGGTTAGTCAAAAGTGATATTATGATTTCATGTCACTAGTTTTTCAAAACATGTAGCGCCTGTTTGTTCGATTTTGTCGGCCGTAGGGAGATTCATTTAAAAGTTTACTAACGCGTCGTTGCAAAACATTCTGCTTCACGAAGCTCCCCTCCACAAGATCTCCTCAGTCACATCAATGTCTCCACGGTTTCTGTCTTACAGTCTTTATTGTTGCTGTTTATTTTCTGCGTACTCCTTTCACAATTATCTGAGCTTGTATGGAAGCTAGCAGAAGAAATAAGCCTTCAATCGGCATCAAAGTGCTTCCAATCTTTTGGTCCTCCGGCCAACGGCAATAAAAGTAACGCCAAAAAATCCAGATTTTGCCCAAATCGAAACTTAACGGGAACAACATTGATCTATAATCCTGAGAAGTTTTAGTGTCGTATTGAACCCGGCCAAGCGCGATGCAAACGGATTTTTCAAGATTCTCTTACTCTCCTCGCATCTTTTGATTTCGCGACATCCTGCCCAAAAATCAAAGTTCGGTGCATGCGCAGTAACGGTATACTGTTCCTTTAACAGCCAACAAAACAAGATAACCTTGAATAACATTAGAAGGAACCTTAAAATGAAATTGATCTATCCTTGCACAGGGAGCAGAGGAGTTCAGTTTGAGTTAGATAATGGAGTATCTCTTACCTTTTGATTGCTGTAATTTGTTAATTATCTGTGTGTTAGTTAGCCGTGTATGGTCATTTTGGGTCGGTTAACCATTGCAAACTATTCCCTTTGATCGTCGCTTTCGCTCAACGTTTCTTTCCGACCGTCATTATTTTAAAACTTAACCGCTGTATAAAGCGCTCGTGGGCTCTCAAGATTCCTTCCCTCACCAGTTGCTGCAGTCCACATCAGAATGGTCACGTGGTACAAGTTTCATCCCTTGTCTCTTTCTTTCTCTCGGCATTTCGTGCCTCTTTAATTTTCCGAAGACATTCCGCCGAAGGCCAACGGAATACCCACGTGCGCTTCATTCGGCGGTTGTTATGTTTTAAAATAATGGCTGTCGGAAAGAAACGTTGAGCGAAAGGGACGATCAAAGGAAAGTGTTTACAACGGTTAACCGACCCAAAATGATCACACACGGCTAACTAACACACGGATAATTAACAGATTACAGCAATCAAAAGGTAAGAGATTCCTTATTATCTAATTCAAACTGAACTCCTCTGATCCTCTGAGTCCCTTTGTCCCTGTAAATTTATTTCATTAAAATGCAAGGTCTAAATGCCAGTAATTTCTTTTTCTGTCGTTAGCGTAAGGAGTTCAGCCAGTCTCCACCAGAGAATTGTGTTCAAACAAATAAACAAAAGACAAACAAAAACAACAATAACAAAATGCTCCACCAACGACATTGTTATTAATTATGAATGATTTATTAAAATATTTTTAATTTATGTCTTTATAAAGTTTTAATGGTTAGTCCCTTTCGTAGAATTGAAGGTTTCCTGACGAGGATCAATGTACCAAAATGCTGCTTCATGTTTTATCTTATTTGCAACGGTAAAAATAAAAGCAATGTTCTACATCCTTACGTGTTCAGACTTTGATTTTCAAAGCTTTATATATTTTTACTATAAAGATGAAAAAAATATTATGGAACGTTAAGAGTGTTTCTGCTTATGTCCGAGGAACTCTTCTATTCTCTCGCCGAAAAAGGACTTTTCAGGACAGAGACAGCAAAGACCAAAATTCACTGGACCCTGAAAGACAGCCAAAAGATTAATAAATAACGTTTTGGTCAAAATTACGGTCCAACATATATTTGGGAGTTTAAGAGACAACGACGGCGAGGACTACGAAAACGTCACTTGAAAAGTGAACCGCGCTGCTTTAAACTTTATCGTGCTCATTCCATCTCGTTTGATAAATTAATATTGTCAAATGTTGGCAATTGTTTCTGGAGCTGACTGAGCTCTAGAGGACTGCATCGAATTTCAGGAAAAGAAAAGAAAGTTGTTGTCTTGTTTTCACGTCCACCACAGAGCATGAATTGAGGCAGTTTCACGTCGTATTCGTCCAGTGACTGGAAAGAAATGTACAAAAAAGTGTGCTGCACGTGCAAAGTTGTTGTTAAGCTAATCCAAACCTATTGCTAGCTCTTTTTTGCCGTTATCGTTGCCGTTGCCGCCGTCGTTGCTTAAGCTCCCTATATTAAGACTATGAAATCGATCCGACGGACAGTCCAACATTTCTGTTGCATTTTTTATATCCTCTTCACAACGGCCACGTCCCTAAAATGCCACACACCTCTACGCCCAAGGTGCTAGTTGTTTAGAGACTTGACCGTTGACTTGTGGCACCTTATTATTCTTGATTTTTTTTGACAATGGGTGATTGTATAGCATCTTTCAGTAAAGTGCAGGTAGTACAACTTAGTTGATTTTGTGAGTCACTTTTCGAGACTGTAAAAGCTCGAACCACAGGTTGCCTGATCTCCGAGATGTCTTTTTGGACTTTGCAATCAGTTTATGTTTTTAAGAGAGCATTATCCTCTCTTGGTGTGTTATGGTGAGCAGTTAACACTTTAAGAAATCACCCTCGATCCACCCAGAGCCCACTCATGACACTCAACTATAAAAGCAAAGGCATAGGACTCTGATATTTCGTTATCCATTTTTTTATTTTTGGATAATTTGCCTTCAAATAGTGTATAGTTTCCCCACAAAAAGGTTAAACAGGTTAAACTCTGAAGTACACAACACTAATAAATAAATCAATAATAAAGGATCATTCCAGGTTTTCTTCGAACAACATCCTACAAAAATGAACATATTAAGAAAACTTACCTGTGTGTGATCTTGTTGACTACATTCAGTAGCGATGTTTTCCGGTTTGTCACTTTTTGGCCAGTTTTGTATTCTTTGCGGAGCTTCACTGCGACATTTGTCGCACCACAGTGTTCCAGGTTGATAATTAGGAAAATTGAAACCAGCTTGGTCAAGAGTGGGAAAGAAATGATGAGGAATCGCGCGGCCGTGCAGCCTTGAAGAGTGTCCCCAAGTAGATGGACACGAGCATCTCCTGTCGTCCTCTCTTCGAATTTTATCAAAACGGCGCTGACAAACCATTTCATTAGGCTGCAGACCACCAGCTCTATATACTTGAGGGTTTGCTTTTCTTACAATACCGCTACAGCCATCCGAACACAGCATTTTCTTCAAGCCAAAATTTGTATGTTGCGAAAACCAACGCCCCGCGATAGTCTTAAGCGAGACAACAATTTCACATGTTGTGCAAGCTCAGTTTAACTCTGGCACAATATAAAATATGGAATACGAATAATAGAAACGATAGGCGAAGTTCAGGCGCTAAGTTTTCAGTTTTCGCTCTAAGTTTTGGGGTTTTCATCGCCTACCGGGCTCGCGTTGAGAACCAATTTAAAGTTGCCGGTGTTTTTAATTTTAAAAAGGCGATGACGCTGACCAGCAAAATAC